CAGGGTCCAAGCTAAGCCCCTCCCCTCAGACCGAACCCAACTATCCATTCACACCACGACCAGGGTCAAGCTAAGCCCTCCCCTTCAGACCGACCCCAACTATCCATTCACCACCACCAGGGTCAAGCTAAGCCCCTCCCCTTCAGACCGACCCCAACCATCATTCACCACCACCAGGGTCAAGCTAAGCCCCTCCCCTTCAGACCGACCCCAACTATCCATTCACACACCACCAGGGTCAAGCTAAGCCACTCCCCTTCAGACCGACCCCATCCATATTCACCACCACCAGGGTCAAGCTAAGCCCCTCCCCTTCAGACCGACCCCAACTATCATTCACCACCACCAGGGTCAAGCTAAGCCCCTCCCCTTCAGACCGAACCCAACTATCCATTCACCACACCAGGGTCAAGCTAAGCCCCTCCCTCCAGACCGAACCCAACATCATTCACCACACCACCAGGTCAAGCTAAGCCCCTCCCCTTCAGACCGAACCCACTATCCATTCACCACACCAGGGTAGCTAAGCCCCTCCCCTTCAGACCGACCCCAACTATCCATTCACCACCACCAGGGTCAAGCTAAGCCCCTCCCTTCAGACCGAACCCAACATCCATTCACCACCACCAGGGTCAAGCTAAGCCACTCCCCTTCAGACCGACCCCAACCATCCATTCACCACCACCAGGGTCAATCTAAGCCCTCCCCTTCAGACCGACCCCAACCATCCATTCACCACCACCAGGGTCAAGCTAAGCCACTCCCCTTCAGACCGACCCCAACCATCCATTCACCACCACCAGGGTCAAGAAGCCCTCCCCTTCAGACCGACCCCAACCATCTATTCACCACCACCAGGGTCAAGCTAAGCCACTCCCCTTCAGACCGACCCAACATCCATTCACCACCACCAGGGTCAAGCTAAGCCCTCCCCTTCAGACCGACCCCAACCATCTATTCACCACCACCAGGGTCAAGCTAAGCCCCTCCCCTTCAGACCGACCCCAACCATCTATTCACCACCACCAGGGTCAAGCTAAGCCACTCCGCTTCAGACCGAACCCAACTATCCATTCACCACCACCAGGGTCAAGCTAAGCCCCTCCCCTTCAGACCGACCCAACTATCCATTCACCACCACCAGGGTCAAGCTAAGCCACTCCCCTTCAGACCGACCCCAACCATCTATTCACCACCACCAGGGTCAAGCTAAGCCCCTCCCCTTCAGACCGACCCCAACCATCTATTCACCACCACCAGGGTCAGCTAAGCCCCTCCCCTTCAGACCGACCCAACCATCCATTCACCACCACCAGGGTCAAGCTAAGCCCCTCCCCTTCAGACCGAACCCCAACTATCCATTCACCACCACCAGGAAAGCTAAGCCCTCCCCTTCAGACCGACCCAACCATCCATTCACCACCACCAGGGTCAAGCTAAGCCCCACCCCTTCAGACCGAACCCCAACCATCCATTCACCACCACCAGGGTCAAGCTAAGCCCCTCCCCTTCAGACCGACCCCAACTATCCATTCACCACCACCAGGAACAAGCTAAGCCCCTCCCCTTCAGACCGACCCCAACCATCCATTCACCACCACCAGGGTCAAGCTAAGCCCCCCCTTCAGACCGAACCCAACATCCATTCACCACCACCAGGGTCAAGCTAAGCCACTCCCCTTCAGACCGACCCCCACCATCCATTCACCACCACCAGGGTCAAGCTAAGCCCCTCCCCTTCAGAACCAACCCCAACCATCTATTCACCACCACCAGGGTCAAGCTAAGCCACTCCCCTTCAGACCGAACCCAACATCTATTCACCACCACCAGGGTCAAGCTAAGCCCTCCCCTTCAGACCGACCCCAACTATCCATTCACCACCACCAGGGTCAAGCTAAGCCACTCCCTTCAGACCGAACCCAACTATCATTCACCACCAGGGTCAAGCTAAGCCCCTCCCCTTCAGACCGACCCAACATCCATTCACCACCACCAGGGTCAAGCTAAGCCCCTCCCCTTCAGACCGAACCCAACTATCCATTCACCACCACCAGGGTCAAGCTAAGCCACTCCCCTTCAGACCGAACCCAACTATCCATTCACCACCACCAGGGTCAAGCTAAGCCACTCCCCTTCAGACCGAACCCAACTATCCATTCACCACCACCAGGGTCAAGCTAAGCCCCTCCCCTTCAGACCGACCCCAACCATCTATTCACCACCACCAGGGTCAAGCTAAGCCCCTCCCCTTCAGACCGAACCCAACTATCCATTCACCACGACCAGGGTCAAGCTAAGCCCCTCCCCTTCAGACCGACCCCAACCATCCATTCACCACCACCAGGGTCAAGCTAAGCCCCTCCCCTTCAGACCGACCCCAACCATCTATTCACCACCACCAGGGTCAAGCTAAGCCCCTCCCCTTCAGACCGACCCCAACTATCCATTCACCACCACCAGGGTCAAGCTAAGCCACTCCCCTTCAGACCGACCCAAACTATTCCACACCACCAGGTCAAGCTAAGCCCCTCCCCTTCAGACCGACCCCCAACCATCTATTCACCACCACCAGGGTCAAGCTAAGCCCCTCCCCTTCAGACCGAACCCAACCAATCCATTCACCACCACCAGGGTCAAGCTAAGCCCTCCCCTTCAGACCGAACCCAACTATCATTCACCACCACCAGGGTCAAGCTAAGCCCCTCCCCTTCAGACCGAACCCAACTATCCATTCACCACCACCAGGGTCTAGCTAAGCCCCTCCCCTTCAGACCGACCCCAACTATCCATTCACCACCACCAGGGTCAAGCTAAGCCCCTCCCCTTCAGACCGAACCCAACTATCCATTCACCACCACCAGGGTCAAGCTAAGCCACTCCCCTTCAGACCGACCCCAACTATCCATTCACCACCACCAGGGTCAAGCTAAGCCCCTCCCCTTCAGACCGACCCCAACCATCCATTCACCACCACCAGGGTCAAGCTAAGCCACTCCCCTTCAGACCGACCCCAACCATCCATTCACCACCACCAGGGTCAAGCTAAGCCCCTCCCCTTCAGACCGACCCCAACCATCTATTCACCACCACCAGGGTCAAGCTAAGCCACTCCCCTTCAGACCGACCCCAACCATCTATTCACCACCACCAGGGTCAAGCTAAGCCCCTCCCCTTCAGACCGACCCCAACTATCCATTCACCACCACCAGGGTCAAGCTAAGCCCCTCCCCTTCAGACCGAACCCAACATCCATTCACCACCACCAGGAACAAGCTAAGCCACTCCCCTTCAGTCCGACCCAACTATCCATTCACCACCACCAGGGTCAAGCTAAGCCCCTCCCCTTCAGACCGAACCCAACTATCCATTCACCACACCAGGAACAAGCTAAGCCCCTCCCCTTCAGACGACCCCAACTATCCATTCACCACCCACCATGGTCTAGACCCGGGGGGTTTCATCGGTCGGTTCTCCCCTCCGAATGATACTCCTGCCCACCGGGGCCTAATCGCCAAAACTCCATACATTCATTTGTGTTATTCCTGGCAATAATATGTATTCTTACATCATCGTTATCGAAATCTCAATAGGACTAGTGCTATCTATCTAAATGGAAGTAGTAAGCACAATATTGTCAGAGGTCAAATATGTGAAGTATGTGTATCGTGGAGCTGCAAGAGATTATTCTACAGACGTGATAAATGATGCTTGTTTGGTTTCAGTATCAACAACAACAAAAGAAACCACACCATCGATCACTTTGATATGTTTTCCAACAATAATGAGAAATAGAAAGATAATGCATTTGTATAATTGTGATTGCAATATCACTCAGAATAATTGCAGTTATTTATCCCACTCATTTCTGACAGTATGTCCTCTTGATGTGTCCTCACCTTCCTGGGTGGGATGGCTTCGTGGTAGCTGGGCAGGATCTTCAGAACCACAGACCCACTGGTGGCCTGAAGCTCCTCCTGCAGAACCCTGGCGTCCTGACCCACCTCCCGCCCGTTCACCTGCACACACAACGGATAACACGTCAGTAACTGTAAGCAGCACCTGTAGGGGAACAGGGTAGGTAACCACATCGGGAAAATAATATATGTGCAATACATTATAATTTAAAAGAGGTGGAGCATGTTCACAAAAATAACCA